TTCTGAGCAAATCCGTCAGGATGTACAAATAATAAAGGTAGGAAAAGTATTTCCATCAGTGTTCCATGACTGGAACAACTGGGTTGAGTTTGGCCACACTCAGAACAGCAAGGAACACGACTTGCCAGGAAAAAAAAGATTTTGAGCCTCAATGTTCTAACATAAGGCTTCAGACACAAAGAATTGTTGTGCTGAAGCTGAGTATTGAAGTGTAACATCAATTTGTTTCTGAAAGGAAGATTGGCTGTATGCAATGAGGGCTCATGAAAAGAGACTGAAATCCCACACAACTATTTACACCAGCAAACCCATGAAATATGCAAAATTAGAGGGGAAGAAAAAGACTTATTTTCCAGATGCAGCCTGCAATGAAGTGAGACAAGCAAAAACCTATGTCTCTATGTAATGGTACTGTTCTGAAAATGAAAAAAGAAAGTAAATAATTACAGACAACAATATAAAAACTTTTAAAGTCATTTTGGAAGGCAGACAAAAGAAATCAAAAGAACAGTATCACATAATAATAAAAATTATTACCCCAAAGAAGTTGTTCACAGATATATTTGCATCTGCTTAGGAGACAAAAATAAAGGTACCAACCCAGTAATTTTAAAATGAATTTTAAATCGTATACATATTGACTTTTAAGATAGGATAGAATTTTTATTAGCATTGGGATTATAGTCTTTTATTTGGTCTTAATTCATCTCCATCTTAAACTTCTATTAGAAAGGATATCAAGCTACACAAGAATAAAATGAGTAGGGACAAAAGGTTATGGAAGAGTTCGGAGTCTGAGAGAGATAGTTTCTCATGTGAGAAAAATGTTCTTGAAAATCAATAATAATCAGAAAGTCATTAAACAAAAATAACATTTGTAAACTGCTGAACTTTTAAAATGAAGGGAAAGATTTTAAAAATAGCTTATCATTAATGATCTATTCTGAGATTCAATACAAACAAAATATTCAGGGCAAACAGAAGTTTCTAATTTGTACCACGAACATGGGAGAATTGACAACACAGACCCAAAATTAAATGTGCAGACAGTGATCATGACTGTTCAATGATTACCTTATGATAATCAGTCTGGGAACACAGACAGCTTTATTCAATAAAAAGAAAAGAAACTATAAACATGACAGAAGTGAAGAATTTAAGTTACAGGAAATAAAAATATCAGTATTCAAGTTCTTGCCTAGACTCTGCCTACCTTTCCACCTCTCCAGCAATACATGGGGTCTCCTGTGGGGTTATAACAGCTATGCAGGTAGGAAGAATTAGTGTTCACTCTGTACGTGTTTACTACACAGCTGTGGGAGTACAAGGGGAAGAACTGGAATAGTTGGAGCATTCTGGGTTCTTCATTACAGGAAGGCTGCTTTCTTACCACTCCATCCTGTGACAGAAAGACTGAAAATTCCCCCATTGCTACTTACTTCTGAGATAGGATAACACCTTTGGAAAAGTCGAAATCAACTCCACTCAGGTAGAGAAGAGAAGCAGGTGGTGTGCTGAAATGAGTGAAAGTGAAGGTTACATGGTGTTTGTATCCATGATCCAAACACCACCTTCTCTATAAATAACTGAAATACTGGATCATTCATTTCACACGGCTTTTCATCCTAATAAGCATTAATGTTTAACAGCTTTCAAATGTTGTAAAAAAACCTAATTAATCCTCTGACACATCTGTCAAATAGCTTCTTATTTTACTGACGGAGAAAGTTTAACTTTGTTCAAATGACTTGCCCAAGGCCATGCAAATCAGTGACAAACCCAGCCTGAAAACTCAAGTTCTTAATCATGTATTCAGCTGCCTGGAATATCTCATCAGTGTCACTGTTCTTACGGTACATACTATTACATTAGTCACGACAAGTATCCTATATAAACCAGGGTCTATGACTTTGTAATGTGGTTCAAAGGCCTCAATGCCACCGTAATTCACATGCCACTAGACTGGAGATGTAGCTGTGGATCCCAAAGCCTTTGTGAGTCGCTTCAAACTAGATATGTGAAGAACACCTGCCACTATTAACAAAATAAAGGCAATTATGGCAGCATCTACTCCACGCTAGCTAATTAAGTGTCCCGATGAACAGCCAGGAAGGGTGTCCGCTGCACCCCCACCGAGCCACACCGGGCTGGGGGGACACCAGCGAAGGTCACTGCGCCCCGGGCTCTGCAGACAATTGTATTCCAGCACCAGGGAACACTCAGTTTTATTTACAAGCACAGGCACAGACTGTGTTAGTCCTCCACAGGCAGAATCCCGTACTAAGAATTTTATTTACCGTAAGTCAAGAAACGAACAGGTGATTTTCATGCAGCGTTAACATACGTGCAACAATGTCCTTTTATGTGTCAGGCTCAGTTTTAGCCTTTCTACGGATCGATCTTGAGGTCAGAAAAACCATAATCTACTTGTGTGTTGACATCTCAATACTGGAACAAGTGTAAGGGATACCAGATCCAGTAGCCAGCAGAGAAGAAACCATATATATTCCTGGATTCACCATCCTGCAGACTGACTCTCAAGGACGTGCAAATAAACTTTTCAGAGAATCTAGCCTGACACCACCCACACAGCAGGGATGAGGACTAACTATCCTTGGATCATTGATACCAGGAATTTCAGAAAAAAAGACATACTTGCAAATGCACAAGAAGTATCAAGAAAATTATGGTTACACTTGTTCCTTCATCCAAATATATTCATGTAAATAAAGCCCCATGAAGGCTTGTATAACGGCAGTCAGCTTGCAAGCCTTAGGAAAGAGGAAATGCAGGGTGACGTGTGTTACCTGCAGCGCCCGGCAGCCTGGGACAGATAATTTTGCCTGCAAAGTGAACAGAAATGGTGTTGTCAGGGGTAGCAATGCAACAACTCAGCTGACCTTACTAGAAGCTCTCTTTCTGTGAAAACCTTGCCAAATTTAAAACTGCTCTCCCCAAAATAAATCCCCTGAAGGAGGGCCATAGCCACATTAGACCCTCTTGAAGGAAGTTCTTAGGTTAGCTGTCCTTCCAGTCCCCACACACCCATACACATGCTCCTGCCCTGGAAGGCATTAAGAAAAGCCTGCCTTATGAAGGGAATCTTAGAAATATTTACACTGCATTTCTATATTTAGGCATATCACTATTACAACAGCAGCAAGGCTGAGTTAAAATAATTTCATTTAGAAATCTGTGAGGGAAAGCAAACAGCAGTAAATAGAAACCCACAGAAACAGCAGGATGCAACATTATTTTAAACTACATTTATAATACTGAAACATAGTAATGCAAAATCAAAGTTGTAAGAGTTTGACATTGTAACTGCAATTTCTTCAACAGAAAAATAGCAGGGAATACATGTGTTACAATGCTGTAAACCGAGGGCTAGAGCCAGCTTCTCCTTTCACTGACACTGGGCACAAACCCAGCATAATTCCATGGATTAGTGGTGTAACTGGAAGCAAATTTTGCCTTTAGAAGGCAAGATATGAAACTTCATTTTAGCAGATAAAAAGAGGTTGGCTGGAGAGCCATGAAAGTGGGAGTAGTAGTTTGTTTTAGTGGCCTCAGGAAAAATTCACTTAATACTTTTGGGTAATGCAAAGCTTTGAAAACCTGAATGTTTAGATGCCTTCTGAGGAGTCTTGAGAGACATACAAGTGTCAACGTGCTGCTATTTGTCAGCTTTCTTCCCAGTACCAGGGGGAGGAAAAAAAAAAAAAAAAAGATATATCTACATATTAAATTGCCTGGTAATGTTTGTCACACAGTGTCTTCTTGATCACAGAGGTACATGTGAGGTGAAGCTGATGTGCCAAGTAAACCTACTTAAGCTAGCAAAATTATTAATGACAAAGATAGGCTTGTGGGGTGTGAGAGTTTTCAGGCTTGAGTAACAAAAAAAAAAAAAAAATTACAATTTCAGGAAAGTGCAGAGTAAATATCTTTTCAGTATCAATGGAGTCACAACTCTTAGAAGATAAACAGTACCTCATGCCACACCTGGAATACTGTGCTTGGTTTTGGACCCTGCTATACAAAAAAGCTGTGGCCAGGCTGGAGAGAGTCCAGAGAAGGGCCACAAAGACAATCAGGGGACTGAGGAGCTGACATGTGAGGAAAGGCTGAGAGAACTGGGTTTGTTCAGACTTGAAAAGGCTTAGGGGAGACCTTATCCCCATGTTCCAGTACTTAAAGGGTGGCTACAAAGAAGATGGAGACTCCCTGTTTACATGGAATCATATGGAAAAGACCAGGGGTAATGCATGCAAGTTACTCCTGGGGAGATTCTGACTGGACCCAAGAGGAAAATGTTTCACGAGGAGGACAATCAGCCAGTGGAAAAATCTCCTGAGGGAAGTGGTGGATCCCCCAACATTGAACACTTAAGATTCAGCTGGGGTGCTGGGCCATCTTGTCTAGACAGTGTTTGTGCCAAGAACGGTTGGACCAGATCATCCTTGAGGTCCCTTCCAACCTGGGATTCTGTGATTGCAGAATCTAGGATGCCTTTTTTTTTTTTTTTTTTTTTTTTTTTTTTTTTAATTGCTAGAATACCATGTCTTCACAAGAATATGTGAAGGAACGGGTCCTTTTTAACCCGGCTTCCCTGAGAAAACCAACCTGAGCGGTCAGCCCGTCGGAAGTCACCCAGACCCCAACCGCCGAACCGGCGGCGGATCCCCCCCCACCCCACCACCAACACCCGCCGCGTTTCTGATCCGCGACGGAGGTGCGGCACCGCGCCGAGGCTCCCCCCCGCCCAAACCCCGCCACGCACCCCGCATCGCCTCGCTCCAGGAAAACCGCATTCCAGCCCCTTTTAATCGCCTTCCCCCCCTCCACCTCAGCGCGCTGAGGGCAGAACACTCCTCGCCCCCCCCCCCCCCCGCGCTCCCCCACAGCCATTCCCGCCCTCGCCCGCCGGCCCACCCGCGCAGGCGTGGTGAGGGGGCGGCGCGCAGGCGCGGTGCGGCGCGGCCCGTCTCGGCGCGGCGCGGTGCCGGGCCGGCCGGCGGGGGGTGAGGGGCGGCGGGAGCCGCTCCTTGGCGGCCGCCGGGGCCCTGCGGAGCTGCCCTGCGCTCCCCGCTCCCCGCCCAGCCGGGTATTGTTCCCAGCCCGGCTCCACCGGGGAAGTTTTGCCCTCGTCCCGGCCGCGCTCCCCGCCGGGGCGGGGGCCGCTTTGTCGCCACCTCCCCCGGCGTGCGGCGGCCGGCGGAGGGGGGCCGGAGGAGGAGGTGTGCGTGGGGGGGGGGGGGGGGGGGGCGGTGAGGCTCAACATGATGGCGGCTGAGGCCGGGGTTGAGGAGGGCGGCTCGGTTACCTCAGCCGGGACGGCAGGAGCCACCGCCAGCGCGGAGCCGGGGCACTACCCCGCCGTCTGCCGCGGGAAGGGTCTGGGCTTTCAGGGCTCCTTCCCGGCCGGTTCCGGAGGCGGCAGTCCGGCTTTGTGTTCGGTGCTGGGGCACCTGGAGCTGGGCGCGGGGCCTGCCCCTTCGGCGGCCGGCCCGGGGCAGGGAGCGGAGGCGGCTCGGGCGACCGATCCCGGCACAGCCGCTGCCGCCGCCTTCCCCCCGCTGCCGCCGCCGCCCCCCTCCTCGGCTGGGGGTCTGGGGACTGTGGATGAAGGCGACTCGCTGGACGGGCCGGAGTACGAAGAGGAGGAGGTGGCCATCCCGCTCAACGCGCCCCCCACCAACCAGTGAGTAGCCGCCGCCCCGCCGGGGTCCGACACGCCCGGCCGCACCCCCCCCTACCCCCCCCCCCCCCCCCCCCCCCGGCTTTACCCGGTGAAAAATACGCGTGGAAGTCCCGCTGAAGTTTTGCGTCCCGGTTCCGTTCCGGCAGGAAAGCTGCTCCCCCCCCGGGAGAGTGCCCCGAGGAGTCCCGCGGCGGGCAGCCCGCCTCCGCCTGCCCCGCTCCGCAGCCTTGCGCGGTGCCAGCGGCGAGGTGAAGCTCCCCGTCGCTGGAAGGTGCGGCTCCGGTGACACATGGGGTCCGCTCCTTTGGGGGGGGGGGACGGGACGGGACGGGAAATGCGCCCCGCTGGAGCCCGGTTAAGTGTTTTTTTTTTTGCAAGTTTTCACAGCGATACGACAGGCTGCCAGGAAGAGTGAGCTATTCCGGTTGTGGTTTAACTACCTGTTGGGTAGACTTTTCCAGTCCCGGCTGGCGCCGTAGTCTTTATCAGAAGGGCCATAAACTTTTTTTTTTTTTTTTTTTTAAATAAAAGTTGACCAAAATGCTGTCCATGGCATAAAATAATTCATATGCCATGTCATTATTTTGTATTACATTGCTTTCTACTTAAAAAAAGTTGCTTTTCCACTTCATTCACAAACATAGCTAAAGTAATGCACACGTGTTTTGTGCTTTTTAAATACGGGCAGTCTTGAAACGCTGATTTAAAATGAACTGGAATTAAGTATATATTATAAAGCGTTAGCATAGAGGTTATTTTTCTAAATAATGTCAAACTGTTTTGCTGCTCAGCCAATTTAAAAAAAAAAATTAATTGGGTTATGTTTGGAGAGAGGAGACAGTTGAAAAACAAAAACTGTAAACCTGCAGTGAGGTTTTATTATACTTATTCATTCATTAGGGTAATCGGGATCCCTGCAGTGCTGGTAATAGAAAGAATCTTGCACTAGAGGCAGACCAGTTCTCTGTTTATATTGTGTGAAATATAAGATCAGATAATGTTATATAGAGTTCATGTAATTAGTAAGTACTCTAAACGCAGCCTTTGGATTCAACTGTAGAAAGTCTGCTGCAGGTTTATATAAAGCACTTGTAGGGCTTCTTTTAGAACAGAAAATAGCCCTCAAGCAGGTACCATATTCTTCCCAAAATTAAATTGCTTCAAAGGCTTAAATTCCTTTCATCAGTATCTAGAAATATGCTGTTCCTGAAGTTACATTGAGTATAGTCGATAATTTAGGGTTTTGAGGTACAGGGTGGCAGATGTATTCAAGATATAGGTCAGAAAGTTAATCTAAAAACCCATCTGAATTTGACTTCTTTTTTATATTCTCATGTAGCTCCACTGTCAGAGTGTTAACTTCTGCACTATTTCACGTATTTCCAACATTTTGGGAGCCATTGCAGTTGTTAGGTGGGCAAAGAAATGTAACATTGTAGGATTTCATTTAAATTAATCTCTCAAACCTTGACAGGCTTCCTAGTAATCCTTCATTCTTTTAATTTCTGGACTGCTTGTGGAAGTTTGTAAACATTAAGGCCTTGTTTTGTGAAGACAGTGTTTGAATAGTCTTAAACTTGTAGAATTCCCTAACAAGCTAGAAATCGGATTAGGCAGATTTGACAAAGGATAAGGAGGGAAATAGAAGCACATAAAAGCAAAGTTACTTCTTCGGTATTGTGTGCCAAGCTGGTGAAATACAGAATTCGGTTCTTCTGGTTTTCTGTCTGAAAGATCAGACTGCTGCTTCTGTTAGACCCAGATAAATTCCTCAGAGAACTGAGGAAAAAGCCAGAAAACAAGCTTTTTTGAAATATTTTTAGGAAGGATGGGTAATTATTTATTAATAATCACCTGTTTAATACTAAGTAGTTGTTACCACATCTACAATTCTGAGTGGATTTTGCATTCAGAATATTGTCTTGTGAGTCATGTGCAAGCACGATGGTTAATGAAAAAGGATGTTAGATTTCTGACAAGGAGTACGTGCTGGGGGAAGACTGCCGAGGCCAAGATTTTGTTTTAGTTGACAAGGGTACTTAACCTTATTCAGACAAAGGAGACGCTTAAGTTTTTGCAGGACCAGGGCATAGCTCTGTAGTTAAATGTTCTTCTCTTGAAGGTTCTTTATTACAGATACATCCAAGAAATAAAATACATTTTAAAAATTGATTCAGAAGTTCATACATCCATATACTTAACCTTTCTCTTTGTAATTTTGTCCTTGATGTGTATCTTTTCCATAAAATTGACTGATTAAAATAATTAGAAGCCTTTTTCCCTTTTTTTTATCTCTTATTTATTTTATACAGTATCAGTTTTTACCATTCTCAGTTAAGTCATTTAAATTTGCCATATGTCGATAGTAAATTGTATCCTTTTGGTCCTGCTGTTTTATTTTGGAAGTGCCCTTTCTTTGTAGTCATACCATCTGTTTCTGTGGAGTTGAACTCTTGATTTATTGCCAGAAACAAGGATCAATATTATCTATCATCTTACATAAGTAAAGGTCCAGTATAAGTCTTTAAGAGCAGTAATTGATCTTGTAATTTAAACTTGGATTAAACTTCTTCAGTTGAATGTGATTACAAAACTGCTGTTCCATTTGTTTAAATAATGACTGCCAGCTCCACCCTTTCCCACTTCCTCCTAATTCATTCAGTTTTTACAGGAGGTGTGCAGGGTTGGTTTGGTGGATAATTCCACGATTCTGTCAAATAGTTTAGTTTCTTTGTGTTAATTGCTTATAGTATATTACATGTACATCAGAAAGTCGAGAGTGCTCTTCATTCCTGACCTTGGTTTATGAGATATAAAATTACTCTTCTCCTGTATAAGAATGAAAAGGCATTCTTTCATAACAGTAACGACTCACTAGGCTTCTTTGCCTTCCCATGGACGTGCATCCCATTTCAGGATTTACTGAATGGTTGGTTACTGACTCCAAACAAAAATATCTGACAAAAGGTGCTGCTGGTGTTTCCAAGTTCCTACTCCAATCTTAAATTATACTTTTAAGTATAAAATAAAATTAAGCTTTCTGCATAAACTTAGACAAAACTTGATCACTTTTTCATCTCCTAACTTGTTTTACAAATAAAAAAACCAACCAAACCAAACCAAACAAAACAAACACGAAACAAACGAAATCTAAGTTCCCAGTTTGCAAATGTTAGGCCATAAAGGTGTTACAGAACAAACATTTTTTTAAACATTTTTTCATACCATATAGTTGACATTCTGGCTTTCACAGTAACTAACCTGAAAGGATGAGAAGTGAAGTAGGTGTAAGTTCTGCACTTCCCATCAGGGTGCTGTAAATACAGTTTGTTCAGGGTAACCAGGATGTGTTCTTTGCTAGCAAGCACCTAATACACTTAATTTCCTCTTCTCTTTTCCATGTACCTAAGGAAAAGGGGAATGTGTCTTCTCTTAGTGTAAGGGATTGATAGGTTGTCTTTATTCGCAAACTGAAAATCCATAAGCAGGGTTGACTTTTATCTTCTTTGATCTGGAACAAAATTGACTTAAGGCTTGTCTGTTCAGTGTGTGTGTGTGTTTTTTCATTTTTTCTGGAGCACAGCAGTAGCATGTTTATATTGTAGCTTAATGCTAGGTGGGAGGCACAGGATGCTAGGGAATAAAGTGGGCAACCCTGTGTTTGTTTTGGTCATTTTTTTCTGTGCTTTCTATCCCATTTGTAAGGCTCACTGACAGAGGCTGAAATAGTCTAAGGAAATGCCTTTGGATTTAATGAATGAATGCTATTTAATTTGGTTGTAAACTGACAGTATGTGGAATAGTTTAGTTATTTATGTATTTAATTAAAAATCCTAGTTCACAAAATAATTTTAGATCCTAGTGTTGCATTAAGGTGGCAGAAGCAGTTCCAGTATATTTCAGCAAAACTGACATTTTCATGCGGTGCTTTTTTGAGCAGTGGTTATCTGTTTGAAATGGAAATCAGTTGAAATCAAAAGCTATCAACCATACAAAATTAAATAGACTGTCAGAATATTGTCTGGTTAAAAACAAATTTTACCCAAGGCAGATGTAGTCTTACAGTCACTCTTGGTGCCTGTTTGAGGCCGCATAATAGTGAGAAAAAGAGCTGAAGATAGAAATGGATAGCAAAGACTTAAATAAGCATGGATTGCATGAAAGTAGAACATTTTTCTACCCAAATGTAGTGTGAAGTTCTAGTTTCTTCACATCACATGAGTGTCCAAGGTGGCAAGTCCAGAGTTCTGCAGTTTTTGTTTATTTCAGTAACTCATGAAGAACAATTTTTATCTGAATAATGGCTCAAGGCATTTTTTCCATACTGGTGAATGAATCTGTTGCGCTAAAAACTGGGGGGAAGTAATACTGTCATTTTCAGTTAGCAACTGTATGAATAAAAAAATGAAATATGGTATAACTTGATTTTAGTGTGTGAGGCTTCCTTTCCATTTATCAGTTAATGTGGTTAGCAGGTAAACATGTCTTATTGAGAAAATTATTTTCTTTATTAATTCCTGTTCACTACAGAAGAGAAGCTACCTTATTTTTCTAAAGTTGATGAGTAGTGTACTGATTTGGCCACTTAGAAAATAGACCTGAATATAAATCTGGTTTTAGTTCTGGCTGAATGTGTGGTGTTAGAAGTGCTGTCTTAAATGAATGGTTATAAGCAGCAGAGCAAAATAGTACCTAACCATATATAGGAAGTGAAGCAGTAAGTAAAGTGAGTATGTTAGGTACATGTATAAATGAAAGCTTCAGATGAAGAAAACCAGAAGTACAACAGCATTTAATGGCAGAAGAAGTTTGAGGAGGATTTTTCAGTAGTTTAGTCAATATTTCTAGTTAACATCTGATGATGTCATTTTGTTTATACAGTGAATAGAGTCTCTTGACCTCCACTTTAGTTTTTATTTTGTGTTGTGTATTGACTCCCAGAACTTTGTGTGGGACTTAGGCACTTCATCTACTGGCCTACCCTATTAAGAAGCATAATA